GATTATAGACCTTCCAAGAAACAGCGTATAATGAAAAAGCACAAACATAAAACCGAACACTCATGCTAAGATGATGTAATCACCAGTTGCCGACAAAGCAAACGCGCATCAGCCACGACTGTCAAATGTATAGAGAAATTGCCTGAACAGAGATGTTACACAAGAAAACTGATGTGAACAGTGAACTACGACACAAAATCCCAGATGACTTCATAGTCACAGATGAAGATTTCAAAAGTGATGAATGTAGTGCTGAGAATGTCTCAATAGTGACGTTGAATCTTAATTACTTTGCCTCTAGGAGTGGTGAACGAAGGATAGCCAAATATAACATCGATAGTCACAGAAATTATTTACCGATAGCAAGTTATACATGTACTTTAAGTCACTGAACACAACATTACAAGTGGAATACATCTGTAATGCAGAAAATATGACACCAGGCAGATGTGGAGTCACCATGCGTTCTTTTAATTTCCAATATGAGCAACTATGAAAGTTAACACGACTGAAACCCCAACCAGTACAATTCAGTGACGCCCTATATAATTACATAGTTTCTTTTTACACGCAAACACACCGAAAGTGAATTCAGAAACGTGGAAAGTAGATGGGAAATACTGCACGGGTTGTCGTCCCTCAGTGGTTTCAAAGCGATGCTCACGCCGCAAATCTCAATGACCAACTGACTGGATGTCAAGTTGAGCACCACTGCGCATGCGCAAAGTAAATTACAAGATTATTTAGAACGTTAATGCATTTGACCTGTCACACACCAAACATGTTTGTCTAGTTACATGTCACAACAATCCCCATATTTGCATGTTTTTTTTTTCTTTTTACTTCAGTCATGTCTTCAGTCAGTAACCTTAAACTGCTTGTAATGTGATTTTAATTGGGCAGCATTAAATAGCAAGTGAAAATGTATATTATTATGCAGTTCTACAGGTTGTTGTAATTAGACCTCTATCAGTCTTGATTGACTCCTCATTACTGGGCAACAATAAAGTGTGCATCTCATTCATGTGCACCACTGTAGTTAATTCTTGTGTCTTTCATGTCAGTGCAGATATGCTCCAAACATGCATACACAGAAAACCGGTAGTCACCATGCATGTACACTCAAAATCTTCAAGTAGCATTATTTTGAGATCCAGAAATCATTTTTAAGATCACTTTTGATTATGTATATTCAAGATGCTGTCAAATATACAGTAACCAAAACAAATTGCAGCACCTCCCCTGTAAGGCATTGTTGTTGTTGCCAGGGAGAAGTAGTGTCAAAACCTTCAAACTGACAGAAAGATACAACTCAAATGGGTCTATGATACATTTAGTAGTGAACTATTTGGTAGAAGGAACATTTGATCGATTACAACAGTATAATCACATAAACCACACTACTGTACCTCTTGCACGATTCATGTTTAAAGACGTGCACGGAAGACCCGACTATAAATGTTTGTGACAGAAGAGAATTTACAAATACAAGATGAAAGACAGGAGTGCATTTCTTCTTCTGACTGTATTATCAGTATGCAGCTTAACATTATTGCTGGTGTTTCTAGGGTTATCTAACATTCCGCGAATACCAATATGGACTTTAGGAAAAATACCTGTTAGCACTCTACGTGAAGTTAGACAGTTAAGCGTGGAGACGGATCTTGATGCTTTAGAAGATGTAAACAGGCACTGTATTCATTGCTTGGTAGAAACTACACTGTTAAGTGTTACAACTCAACAAGGTGTGTATTTGCAATTAACTCGGAATCGGAGTACATAAAAGTATTAAACATTAATTTAACAAAATACATGTACCTACAAGCAGCCTGTTGGCTGATATAGCTCTGCAGTTTTTGGTGCATTATGGGAAACAAATATCATAGGAAAATGCTGCGACATGCATGCTTCTTAATGAACACTAGCCTTGAATAGAAACATGAGTACTTCGGGTGACTACCAGGTACAACTACCTGGTAAACCACGACAGAATGTTTAAATATACATACGATTATATATACATACTAATTTCTAACAGTTTAACTCTTTGAATGCAAAATTTTAGCGAAAACATTTTTTTTTATTTCAATTATTTCTTAATTTTGGATCCAATGAACATAATTTCTCATTGGCTACTGGTTTTCGAGGTTATAGGTCCTGATCAGCATTTTGGTGAGGGGGGGGTCGCACAAATAATTATCTTGTGAAAGGCAGCAACAACAACAAAATGAGAAAGAAGTGACATAAAGACTTTTTTTTGTAGTGGTATCAACAAAAATCAGTTAAACTGATGTTAAACAAGTACACAGCTTGGAGAAAAGAATATCCATCTCAGGATTTCTATGTTATAAATCCAAGATCTCTATGGTATGCATGGGATGCTGCAGAGTACTTCAATAAAGGAAGCCCCATCAAAAAAATCATTCCGTCATCAGGATTCACAGGTTAATTGAGTTTATTATTTATTTAATTCTATCAAGACTGTTTTATCTTTGCGACTGGTGTAAATACAGACACTTCTGAATATTATATCGATTTTGAAAATGTGGTATATATTTGAAATGCTGGTTTCTAAACATATCCTGTAAAAGGGTTAATTATTTACTGGGTTTTAATTTGGCTTATTTCGCTGACTGGAAAATGCGCTAAATTAAAACCTAGTGGATATGTAAAATTGAGCATAGAACACGTTATCTAAATGATAAAACAGTGAATTTAAAACCCACTGAATATGCCTGAAATGCTAAATCAGTGAAATTTAAACACAGTGAAAATTAGTCATTTTACAGTATGCAACTGACTGTAAAATCATGACCCATTAATTTCATGGCAGCTGGGTATGCAAGATCACCAGTGTAGGGTTGCAGCCCATGCATATCCAAGGATTTTTTTTGAACAAGGGAACAGGGGCGCAGTGCCCTCATGCCATGGCCATGTGCCCCTTACCGTGGGGAGCAGATCCTCTGGCAAACATCAAATTCTGATTGACCAGGGATCACATGTAGCCAGTCTTCAACTGTGACCAGTCTGATAGTAATTTTGGCCCCAAGCCATAGAATGCTCCATTTTAACTTACAATTGTCAAAAATTCCACACCCTGGTAGGGAGAACCCTATCTCCCCCCACTTGGTGGCACGCTGAATTGCAGTGCTCCCTCTTGCAGTTTTTTCTAGAAAAACCCGTCATATGTTATCTGTTTGGATACTTTACACATCGGCATTCATGCACTAAGTATTATAATCCAATGGTGACAAGCGAGTAAAAACTACATTATAGCAAGACAACAGGTAGAAATGTTGTGGCAACATTATAAAAAAAACATGGCATCAGAAATGGCGAAATATACACCATTGAAATGACAATATTGCCATAGTTTTAACCATTATCAACTGTGGAATCTATGTATGACATCTACAATCAATGAAGATCCAATCTGGTGTGTCAATCGACCACACTTCTATCAAATGGTATCACAGACATGGGCAAACAGTATAACCAAGCAGTTTTATCACAGACTCTCATCTGTATTAGTATTTATGTATGGCTGGATGCAGTATGATTTTGTGACCATCCTGCAATTCAACTGATTTGGTTAATACACACAAGATCTTCATCACATGACACCAATAGCATATCCTCATTTCTAGAATTCCATGGTTCTACATGGTGATTTCAACATACATAAAATACATAGATTTTATTCCTCTCATTCATTCATTCATATTTCAATGCACACCACTAAATGCATCATAATGGCAGTTTCCCTCTCAAGTATCGTGGTGATAGAATATTAAATAACATTTGTATTTGTATACATGTACAGGATTTCTTATGATGCTTGGCTTATGCGACAAAGTTGACGTGTATGGCTTTGGAATCAACGACACATCCTCCTGTCATTATTATGACAAACCAGGATGCAACACTGCCAGTAAAAGGTGGCATCCACTCCAGGAGAAAGCACTAATTGCCGCAATGCATGATGGACCTACAAGTGACCTAGACAGACATCTTGTTACTGTTAATGGCTTTAAACATATAAACTGTACATGATTTAACACAGTATGTCACCAATAGAAGGAAATAGTTATATAATTATAAGTGCTGTGCCTTCACACATCACATCACAGAGCTCAAGGACCAATATTTAAAGTACACATGTAGTTGTGGCTAGCATTAAATCAAAGAACTTCCTTGAATATTACAATATGGTTTTATGTTATACTATTGTTCATAAAAACCAGATAGATAAGTCAATGACAAAGTTTGTTTTTTCAGCGACTGTGTGAATTAAAAACAATGAAAGATACTGATAAGATTACAATTAAATGTTGGTTGGGGGAGGGGGTTGGTTCAGCTAAAAAATATGGAGTCACTTCAAATCCATTCAAAGTGACAATTCCTAAAAATATGATTCTCTTGTATGATACAAAATTGTTTAACCCACACATGAACAAGTCAAACACATTTTTTGTGGGCTTAAATAGACTCCATTCAGTCAAAAAGTCATCAAAAAAAAAACCAGTGTAACAGTGTACACTAATATATTGTCATGGTACCTAATTTCAACAAAACTTGGCTTCCCACCAACCATTTTCCATCACATCACCAAACAAACTAATGTGCATCAGTGACCCACCTAAAGTGATGTTCATCCTAAGTTTGATTGAATTTAGTCAAGGAATGCCCAAGAAACAGATTATATCATATTCAAATTTTGTGATTTTATTTTATTATGAAAATTAAGTTCAATGAATATGAAAATACATAAAGACCCATTTATATCTTGTTATTCAAGTTGAATGCAAAATTGGTCCAGACATGTTTGAAAAATTGGTGATGGAGTGAGTGTAACCATGGTCATTCAACAAACATTCTAGTTTTCTTTGTTGTTTGACGGAGTTTCATATCCTAGGTTTTATGACAGACCAGAATAATATGCAAAATAATAATAATCTAAATAAAACCTCACATGCATTTCACTTTCACATTCCACGTACCTTTATTCCCACACTTCCATCAATCATTTTGCAAATTTCATAGGGAAAATTAACTTTTTCACTTTGTACAAACGGGTCATCAAATTTCCGTCCAAGTAATCGCTTGAATCCATGAACAGTATTCTTCATGTTTGTTGTTGCCTGCAGACAGACAATACAGACGTGTTAGTTTCATGAAAGCAAATCACAATACTGTATCTTATTTCTTACCGTGTCCAAATACCAATATGATTTAAATAAATGCAATTTAAATTTCTAAATACAAATACAAATTATTTTAACTCGTACTGTAAAATACTTTATTTTCACTTGGAATTAATTTTCACTATTTTTGCACTATTCGGTAAAATTAAAATCCAGCGAATATATCTTTTTTCCTATATTTTTCATATTCAACTCATCAAAAATCAGTGAAAATAGATTATACACAAAACACCCAAAAAGTCTTCAGCGAAAATTAATTCCAGCTAAAATAAAGTATTTTACAGTAGATGTTCCAATGAACAGAACGTTTCATCCCAATGGCAAGTAACAGCTGTGGTATTTCTGAAAACAGAAACACACTGGTTTTATACAAACTACACATGTGTACCAAGATTACACAACATTGGTGTAGAAGACAATTTGATTACAAAAACCATAAATATTT